CCTACTCCCGTCGTGTCGCTTCGCCTACCCACGTACGTTAACTACCTACCGGTACACAACGTGGGAGTGCCAATTCCGATCTAACCGAGCAGATAGAATTTGAACCGCCCGATTTTTCCTACACTGGTTTCGACACTAAAAAGCCACTCAAATTTATCATCTCATCCTTTAGTGTATGGATATGAGAAAAATGATTTCTAATCCTAGAAATAGAGCATATTTGCAACAAATTATCTTCTTCTTATTTTGACAAAAATGATCAAATTTTATTCTAAACCTTTACAAGAGATTTACAGCATTCGGAATAGAAATTGAATAAAGAGTAACCCTCTTTTGGCCAACGAGTCTGCTACACTCTTAGCCTCCCTGCAAACATGGTGGAATGAGACTGTTAATTTCTCAAGCATAACCATCACTTGGCACCAAATAGATCGAAGCATCCATGGGACTCATTGCTCCTTATTACACCATCTAATAACATTCATAGACTTATACAAACTGTCCCCAAATTATGTGATCTAAAAAATACATGACTTGAAGAAGAGCTGAAAATTCCACAAAGTTAGCAGTTGCATAACCAATCCGTCATGTATAGCAAACATGATTGTCCCATTTCAAATGCATACCTCTCCTTCAATACCTGCCTCGCTTGGGTTATCAAAAGAACTTCCATCAAAATTTAATTTGAAACATCCCTCCAAAGGAGGTTGCCACTTAGTAATTGGCCTACTCCTCTTGCATAAGCAACCATAATTGTCCCATTGTAAATGCAAACCACTCCTCCAATACCTGCCTCGCCTTGGTTACCAAAAGAACATCCATCAAAATTTAATTTGAAGCATCCCTCCAAAGGAGGTTGCCACCGACTAACTGGCCTACTCCTCACAACTCTGGAATATGAAAGATTAAATAGATTCAACCTCACATCTACCTCTGAGATGCCTCTACTTTCTATGTAACCGAGAGCCAACTCTAGATTGTGTGTAAAATACCATGAAGAAGTCTATCATAAGGTAGGATTGCTCCTTTAAAAGTTCATCAATTGCATTCTTTCCAAATTTCCCAACATACTGCTCCCCTTATAATTTGCCAAATAATACACCCCAACTTTGGTAACATTGGAAAGACTTCCCAACATATCCTCATTCATAAGAGAGATTCTTCTAATGCCCAATCCACCTTCTCGTTTTGGGGTGCATTCCCTATCCCACTTCAATAGATGATATTTTTTCTCATCTTCAAAAGACCCCTATAAGAACACATCATCCTCTCAATTTTTTTAACTACTCCATTTGGCATCTTAATAATGGACATTTGGTAAATTGGTAGATTTGCCATACAATATCTTAGCAGTTTTACTCTACCCCCCAATGACAAATACTACGGCTTCTGTAAACCTAGTTTAACTTGAGCACGCTGAGGACTTTTATTCCATACCGAGACAGGCAACCAAGTGTCCCAAATAGGTTATAGGGAAGACATCAATTTTACATTCAAGGGTAGTAGCCAACATCTCAACTAGTTGGTTACTACAGTTGATGCTAATCAAAGACATCTTTACAAAATTAACTTTCAATCGTTGAGCCATTTCGCAACACTTCAAAAATCTGCTAATCTTCTTAATATACTACTCATTTGCCTCGTTAAAAATCAGTGTATCATCCGCGTATTGTAAGTGTGACATAACAGGTCCTTCCTGGCCAATCTGAAATCCAAAGAAGTTTCCCCTATTCACCACATTATAAATCATGAGGCTAAAACACTCTGCGTATAAAGTAAATAAAAATGGCGATAAAGGATCTCTTTGTCGTAGGCCTCTCGAGGCCTTGAAGAACCCTTTTGGACATCCATTTATCAACACCAAAAAATGTGCAGAGGATAAACAACCATAAACCCATAATTTTTACTTCACTCAGAATCCCATTCTCTTCATCACCTCTAGAAGAATACTACATTCTACTCTATTATAGGCCTTTTTCATATCCAGTTTAATGACCACACCAGATTATTTACTCTCCAATCTATAATGAATACACTTTTGGGCCACTAGGACACTATAAATTATCAACCAAATTTGGATAAAAGCTGCTTGAGGGTCTGGGATAACACAAGTCAGCACTTTCTTAAGCCTTTTAGCTAAAACTTTTGCTAAAATTTTGTATAGGTTGTTTTAGGGTATTTTTTGACACTTGTATTCCCGATGCAAATAAAAAGGAAGCCAATCGCGACCTAGACCCGTAGGCGCCAAGATGCCAGTGGACTACATAAGTATTGCTGAAATAAACCTTGATCCTAAGCGAATTTTGAAAGGTAATAGATGGGTTCCAAAAAGCATGTCAAGGTAACACTTGAATCCCTAAGAACACTTGACAAGTTTCGTCATGATCCGACGACGTTAAGATGGATCAAAGACAAAGCCAATTTTCAAGTTTGGCCTCTAGTATGCTGAAAATACATCTCATAACTACAGCCCTATCACTGGAGTATCAGATAAACACCAGACTAATTCCATTGGATTCAGAAGGTTTGAAAACCCCCAGATACCAAATTTCAACTCATTCGGATACTTCTAGACCATCTTGTGGCCAACTTACCCAAAACGAATGGGTTGCACACTATTCTGATACACCCAAGGCGAACTAGTTTCCATTTATGGAAACAATGTAATATGATTTTGGTATTACCTTTGAAAGGTCATAACTTCTTCATCGTAAGTCGAATCTAGCTCAAATTTCAAGAGGATCTTCGTCTCGTCGCCACGTGCATTTTGAGATATGGCACAACCCATGATGTGACACGAGACGGAAGAATCTTAGATAGAAACTGCTTAAGAAAACTCATGCTTTGCAGATTTTTGTAAAGAAGAGATTCCTTCAATCAAACGGTCATATCACGAAGCCCCGACCTCAGATTGACTTGAAAATGAGTATGTTATGACCGTGACGTCGAGGAC